TGTGTAGCCAGCAGCCAGTGTGAGCGGCCAGCAGCCGCCGTGAGCGGCCGTTCAGAAGCCGGCAACTGATCTGCCTCGCCTGGGAAGAGAGCAATGATGGTGCCAACTTGGGCCAGTGGGGCGACATCCTCCACAATTAGAGTGAAGAAAAAAATGACAGCAACTTGTCTGTTCCCCTTCCTCTAATTCCCCAGGACTGTTCCCATCCCCCAATTCCCCAATAAAAAATCTAAAAAAAAAACAAAACCTAGGGCATGACCGGTTAGCTAAGTTGGTTTAGTTAGAGCGCAGTGCTCCTAGCACCAAGCTTGCTGGTTCGATTCCCACATGGGCCACTGAGATGAGCCCTCCACAACTAGAATAAAACAACTACTTGACTTGGAGTCACAGCAGCCAGTTAGCTCAGTTGGTTAGAGTGCAGTGCTCGTAACACCAAGGTTGCCAGTTCAATCTCCACGCCCTCCACAACTAGATTGAAACAACTACTTGACTTGGAGCTGATGGGTCCTGGAAAACCCCACCGTTGCCCCCCCCCAAAAAAAATTAAAACCTAAATTGACCAATGGAAGAGAGAATCTTGAAACACCATTTGTGAGTCTACATGGGACAGCAGCCAGCCATCCAGGGCAGGCACCAAAGGACCTGCCAGATACTATACAGTGTCAGGACCACTGTCTGGGGGGAAGGTGACATCCCTGGGTCACACGGTGCCCAGAAGCAAATCCCAGGGTTCAAGGCCTGTGTGAAAACACACCTAGGAATAGGTATTTAAAAAGTACAGAAAAATGGATAATTTTTGCAAATTGTGTCTCTGATAAAAGACTTGTATCTAGAACATATAAAGAACTCTTACAACTCAATGATAAAAAGACAAACAACCCAATTAAACAAAGGGCAAAGGACATGAATACACATTTTTCCAAAGATAACATACAAATGGCCATGAGCACATGAAAGATGCTGACATCAGTCATCGGGAAAAATCACTATAACCACAGGAGACTCCACCTCACTCCTACTCCAGGGTGGACAATAACAAGGGTCCCACAGATGCGGAGAAACTGGAATCTTTGAACGGGGCTCACGGGATGCAAAACGGGGCAGCAGCTTTGGAAAACAACCTGGCAGTTTAAAGGGTAACCAGAGTTTTCACATGACCCAGCAATTCCCCTCCTAGGTTCACACCCAGGGTACTGAGCATGTCTGCACAAAACCTGGGCATGATGTTCACAGCAGTCAAGAAGTGGACAAGCCCAAAGGTCCCTCAGCTGATGATGGACAAATAGCATGGCCCGTCCACACACTGGAGTGTTTGTCATTCAGCTGAGAGAAGGAGGGAGGCGCTGACACTCGCTACAATGTTGGATCTTGAACACACGGTGCTCACGAGAGAAGCCAGACACACAAGCCTACACAATGTGTGATTCCATTTATGTGAAATGTCCAGAACAGGCACATCCACAAACAGGAAGTGGGTTTGTGGTTGTCAGGAGGTGGGAGGGGTGAGGTGGAAGGAGAGAGGAGGGTGACTGTTAATGGGGACAGGATTTTTTTTTCCATTTTAAAATATTAAATCTTCTGCAGTTTATTGGTCAAGAACACATATGCGAATATCCTTGGCAAATAAAATTAGTGAACTCAGTCCTTACAGCAAGGGGGCATTATCAGGTCAGATTATAGGTTTATTTGGCTACCCTACAATGTAAGAATTGACAAATCCAGGACTTAACCATGAAATATAAAGTCACCGTAAATCAACTGATTTTAGACATAAAGATTTAAAAACATAAGAGCAAAATAAATGGATAGTATTGAGGAAAATAGGCAAAAAAACCCCCCAAGAAACAAACGCGAAGAAGTAAGACAATGAAATCAGGAAAACACTAAGATTAGGTTAATAGAGTCTGCGCAAAATCTCAACTTTGATATGATTTGGAACCATTTAATTCTAAAGCTGTTCTTAAGATTGATGGGTAAACTTATAATTAACAGACTTGGATTTACTAAACAATGTTTAATTGATTGTGTTAATGGTTACAAAAGCACCATCAAGACTGTCTTTTGTACAAAAATTCCATGATGACTTGTAACATTGTAGCCCAAGTCTTATTGCATACTTTCTAGTTTACTGGCATGCTTAATTCAAAAGGCCTAGTTTTCCAGCCACTAGGAAATAAAAAATTTTAATTTGTTTCATAGTTTTCAAAAATTGTCATCAATTTCTTAGTGTACCTAGTGCTATCACCAAGTGTAAGTGAGCAGCTAAGGAGAAGGCGCATTGAAGTACCCACAACTGAGCTTAATGGGTAGTCACCACAGCAGCCATCCATGGTTCCTTTACATAAAGGGAACATGTGTTTTGCAAGGAAGTGGGCGGCCGGGGTGAACCATGCACTTTGGCTCAGGGAGAGCAACACTAATAGGCCCAGTATGACTGTGAACATGGGACCTACTAAGTGACTGTCCCCTGGCAAGCCCATTTACAGAAACCCGCAAAAATAATCACCCCTAGGGCGGCCGGGTGGCTCAGTTGGTTAGAGCACGTGCTCTGAGCAACAGGGTTGCTGGTTCAGTTCCCACATGGGCCAGTGAGCTGTGCCCTCTGCAACTAGATTGAAGACAATGACTTAAGCTGAGCTGCTGCTGAGCTGCCAGTGGGCGGCCGGGTGGCTTAGTTGGTTACAGTGCGTGCTCTTAACAAGGTTGCCGGTTTGACTCCCACATGGGATGGTGGGCTGCACTCCCCGCAACTAGATTGAAAACGGTGACTGGACTTGGAGCTGAGCCACGCCCTCCACAACTAAGATTGAAAGACAACTTGACTTGGAGCTGATGGGTGTCTTTCAGGGAAAAAACACTGTTCCCCAATAAAGTTTAAAAAAAATAAAATAATCACCCCTAGTGTGAGCTTCTGGTGTGTGGAGGGCTTTCAATTATCTACAAGGAAGGCCTTTTTCTAGAACTGTCATAAACTTACATTTTTTCTGTAGATTCTCTGCCCCCCCAACCTCCATTTTCAGAAATCTTTTATGAGGTCTCTGTAGCATGTCAATCTATATACATACAGAGTAAGGGACAGAGTTCAGAAACTGCTGCATGGGGGTCATGGCCCTCATCGTCATCATTCATTAAACAAACATTAAGTATCAACTGCATGTCAGGCATTATTTGACGCATGATTTCCCCACAAAATGCCAGTGGAGAAAAACCAACCTTGTGCCCTTCTGGGCAAAACAGAATAAAATAAATGTGTACCATACATAGGCTGCCAGAGGGTAAAGTGGGGAACAGGGATGGGGAGTTTAAGTTGAGTGGCCACAGAAGCCCCAGGTAGCATTTGAGTCAAGTCCTGATGGTTAGGGAGTCGGCCCTATGGACACCAGAGAAGGGCACTGGCAGAGGGCACAGCCCAGGCACATGTCCTGCCTGCTGGGCACCCGCAGCTCCCCTCCCCACTGCATGGCCTTCACATACCGCATCCAAGTAAAATCCACTCACCTATGTGTTTCATCTCAAGACTAGCCCCCTTTTCATTTGCACAGGAAATTAACAGGACCATGGGCCAAGCCATTTTTACCATGTTACAGTAAGAGATCCATCATCACATCCACACTCCAGACAGACCAGTACAAAGGAACCTCAAGCACCGCCAACACACAATCAGAAAAGGTTGGAGATTTCCAAAAATAAATGCAGCACAAACGGTTGTAATTCTGTGCAGCTGGCAGTCTTTTCCACCTCCAAGGGCCACGTTTGTAAAGAACATGGGGTGAGGAGGCGTGGACACACTCACCCACCAGGAAAACACAGATGGATCCACAATACAAGGCAACCTGTGCGGCGCCTAAGTGGTGGCAAGGTGGAGGGAGAAAAGAGCATGCTTGCTGGGGATGGGTTGCTTTTTGGGGTGATGGAATGTTCCAGAACTGATGATGGTGATGGGTGCACAGCTGGGAATGTACTAAAAACCACCAAAATTGTGCACTGTAAATGGGTGAATTACCTCAATAAAGCTATTAAAAAAATATACACGACTGCTTTCAACCTCGGGTGGAAAGGCCCTCGGGAACAGACACTAAAAGGGCTCATCAGATCCCAAACTTCTCCATAAGAAAAGCACTGCGGAGCACAGCCGGAAGCCAGCGCTGGCTATTTTACTCCTGCCCTTTGTGCAAGGGGAGGGAGGGGACAGAAGCACACTTGCATTGTGGATACTGGACAGCCAGATGTGGCTGTGGCTGACCCCAGTGGGAGCAGAGCTGGGAGCATAAGGGGACATGGAGACCCTGCCTCAGCCCAAGTACGGCACCCACCGCAAACCTGTTCTCCCATCATGGTTTTTCATACAGGAGAACTTGTTTACTCAAAATGTCCTTAATTTAAAAACACAGCATTCAACAGCAACTGAAAATCCAGAAATGTTTTAATCTTGCTGCTAGCTGCCCTGAATGCTCACAGACAGGGATACAGCCACTGTGGGGAGGACATGGCAATGGGAAGCTGAAAGGAAGGGGAAGCTGACCAAAGACTTGGACCCATGCCCCTCTTGTGGGGAGCCAGCTTGGGGTGCCCAGGGAGGGCAGGCGAGGACCCAGGACTGTCTTGGTCACTGGCTGCCACAGCAGTCTCCTCTCGGTGTCCTATCCCCTTCTGAGTCACTCGGGATCCCAGATGGGCTCCATGTCCAGGTGAGGCCACGAGGGCCCTCAGCCCAAGAAAGGCAAATGGGTGGCAGCCTGCCTCAGGGTTGGGTCGAGCAGATGCCCTCAGGGCAGGCTGCCAGCATACCACTGCCAGGGTAGGGTGGTCACAGTCCATCTGTCCAAGTCCCAGGAGCTGGGCAAGAATGGAGAGAGTCATCGGGTGGTATGGCTGTCACTTGGGCTGGGCACACACAGGCTGGATGTGCCTCCAGAACCCACAGGAGGTGGGCAGTGACCAGTGGTGGCCTGAGGGTTGTGGGGGAACTAGGGAGGTGAGGGTTGGGGCACAGAGGAAGGCGGTTCAGGAAGGAGGGGCAGGTTAACCAGTGAGGCTTGCTTGGGAACAGGGTCAGGTCCTTCCTGCATCCCCACCCATGCCCAGGCCCCTCTTCCCCTAGAGGCAGCCGTCTCACCTGTGGGGTGGCTACTGCACCAGCCGGTAGGTGATGTACCTGCCCGCAGTCTCGCTGGGCCGGATGATCTTCACCACCTGTGTTGGCGAGAGTGGGGCTGGGTGGGGCCTCCCCTGGGACCCAGGTCATGGGGGTAGAGGGGTGGCAGGACAGCTGGCTAGCTCCCAGAGACCTGGGATTAACTGCTCCCTGCCCGGCAGCCCTGGCTCTAAAGGCGGCTGGAAAGGGCGTCCTAAGAGACCTACCCCAGCAGAAAAGAGCCAGGAGGGGCCTCTCACCTGTCCCCGCTTTATCCCAAAGTAGCGCGCCACTGGGTCTCCAGCCTGGATCCTGGGCAGCTGATTCTCTCGGAGTTTACTGGGAATCTTGGTCAGGGAAAAGGCCATGCTGGGCTCACTGGAGGGGGGATTGGGATACAGAAACGGGGAGGGGACGGGATGAGGGAGACTAGAAAAGATACTACCGGGCCAGCAGCTCTGTCACCTCCTCTTTGGTCATGACGACGTGCTCTGGGACCAGCTGCCAAGAGAACCCAGGTGTCCAGGGGGCTGCAACAGACCCCGCTGTGCCCCACACCCCCATGTGCCTTGGGGGCACCTCTCCAACAGTCCCCTTCCCCACTTCCCCCAGGGCTCCACCTCATGCTCTGTGATGTTGATGAGTAGCTCCTGCTGCAGAAACTGCTCCAGGATGTATTTCGGGGCCATGTCGACCAGGGACTGGAAGAGACCACTCCTTAGGCTCAGCCACGCCCCCAGCTGGGTAACAGGAGCCGGGTGTTGCTGAATGGGTTCCCTCTAGTACTTTAACAAGCTGCCACTAGGCGTTCAGAAGCGGGGAACGCCCACCTGGTGTGGGGTTTCTCCCCTGGAGGAGCCCAAAGTGCAGGCCCACCCTCCTTACACCTCTAGGCCTCAGCCTGTGTTAGAAAGTGACGGTTTCCATCAGTGAAATGCACCCAAGGGTTGTCCCCAAGCTGGTGTGGCGGCCGCTCTCCAGTAGAGTCCCTTGACAAGACTCTACAGCCCCCACAGGCAGAGGGACGAGTGCTTGTCATTCTTCCACCCCAATCACCAGGCTCTCTCAGGCATGTCCAACCAGACAGGGATGCTGGGTCTGCTCAGATCCCCAGCTCCTGCCTCAGGATGAGGGGCCCATGCTCCCTGGGTAAAAACCCATGGGGCCATGAGACAAAGGGAAATGTGCACTGGCCACCACCTGCACGGCAGGGTGGGCTCATGCTAGGCATACCTGTTTGGCGGAGGGCGTCATGCCCTGTTGTACCACGATGAGGGCGCGAGTGATGTTCTCCTCCTGCATGCGCTGGCAGTACACCTTGATGGTCTTGATCCCCACTTTGGGCTCCTCTGCCGACAGAGTGCTCTGGTCTGCTGCAGGCCCTTCTCCACCCGGCTTCATTCCCCCCTACTCCCCTCTGGGGCCTCAGGTTCCCAGTGTGCAAAACAGGCCATCTCCAGGTCACCTGGCAGGTGAAAGAACCCTCAGGGGTCCCTGTCTGAAGGTGGGGTCTGGGAGTCTGGGTTTGGTAAGGTGCTTCAAGGGATGGGAGGTGTGGGAACCTCCAGGTTAAGCAGCTTGTTTAATCTGGGTGTCCACGAGGTGGTGGCTGGGTATTCAGAGGTGAGATGAGGTCAGTTGACCTAACACAGAGACAGACTGCTCATCCCCAGGGTTGGGGGTCCTCATGCTCTCAGTAGCACCAAGGGCCCAGGGCTTTGTCACTTCAGAACTGCTGGACCCTATGAGCCTAGCAGGTAAGCGACTGGGCTCTGGCCACCAGGGATTTGGGCTGGACTTCCTGCAGTGTGCCTCACTCCACGGATGGGCATTGTCTTGGGCCCAGTTGTGTCCCCCAAAATCCCCATGTTGGAGTCCTAACCCCCAGAACCTCAGAATGTGACTGTGTTTGGAGATAAGGCCTTCAAAGAGGTGATTAAAGTAACATGAGATCATGTGTGGGTCCTGATCCATCCGACTGGTGTCCTTCTAAGGAGAGATTAGGGCACAGACACACACAGAAGGATGACCCTGTGATGACACAGGGAAGAGAGGACCATCTACACGCCAAGGACAGGGCCTCAGAGAGAACAAACCCAGTGGACACCTTGATCTTGCACTTCTAGCCTCCAGTGATGGGGACAATAAACGCCTGTTGTTTAAGCCTCCCCGTCTATAGTGTTGTTACGGGAGCTGGAGCAAACCAACACAGGCAGGAAAATCAACCCTGTTCTGCAGCACGTCCCAAAGGAGCAGTGATGTCCCAGCATCATCAAAGACCCAGAAGTGCCAAATAACCTCCTAGTCCTGGTCCTGGTAGGTCTGGAGATGGCTTCAAGGGAGGCCAATGAGTAGGCACCAAGGTCTTCAATAACCACATCCCATGCACAGGACACTTTTCTTAAAAAGTGCCACCAGGTTCTGCTCTGCAAACGCTCTCTGCCCACTTCCTTGATTCTAGGTGCGGGGTTGCCCCAAGGTGCTGAACACAGCCGGCCTCTAACTTCTGTAGGCTTTAGAGCTAGTCAACCTCTAAGTAGTGGGGTAGGTGCTAAGACAGAGGAACACGGGGTCCCTGACATACCCCTCAGTGGGCTCTTTACTCAATTCAGGGTTCAGCAGGGGGGCCCTGAGCAGCAGTGTGGGAAGGAGTTGGTGGGAGTGGAAGTTAGGCTCATGGGGATGGGGGGAGGGAGGGGCAGAGAGGACACAGCAGGTCTGAGGTCAGGAGTGGCTGGGGGCCTGGCTGGAAGGCCTATGATCATCCTGGTCAAAGAAAACGGCTGAGGAATAGAGAATGGGAATGGGGAAGGGGAACTGAGGAGGAAACTGGAAAAGGCACTTAGAGGTATCAGAGGTCAGTGGTATCACCCACAGCATGAAGGAGCTCTCTCCTCAGGCTGGGCAGAAGGAAACGGGCTACTGTAGACTCTGGGTCACACAGCAGGGGGCGGCTACGAGCTGGGCCCTGAGCAGGTCCTCAGATGGGCCCTCAGGGACAGGCCCTCACCTGGGAAGAAGACAAACATCTGGTCAGTGGGGTCATCATTGTGGGCCACCAGCACTGTGAGGTCTGTGCGCCGTGGCCGCCCTTCACTCGGCTTGTCCCCGAACTGGGCCTTGAACTCCTCCAGCGTCTGGTCCAGCTCATCCTGGGTCACCAGGTAGCCACGGTCATGGCACAGCTGTGGACAGAAAGAGCCAGGTGATGCCAGGGCAGAGGGGGGATCACAGCAAGAGCCTGGAACTGATGGTGCCACTGTGAGGGCAATGCAGGGAGTTTGGGGCCTAGTGTGGCAGGTGTGTGTAGAGGCCAGAGAAGAGGGATGGGGCAGGTGGGGACAAAGACCAGGACGCATCTGAGGCCACCTCTGCACTGCTCTGGTTAACAAGCTGCTGCCCATGTTGTCATTTTATCCTGAACCTCAGGAAGCCACCATGATTGGGAAGCAATAACAGCAGGGCTAGGACTTAAGGTGGGGCACTTTGAGGCCAGAGACAGCCCTGGAGTCCGGCGCAGATGGGAGACAGCCAGGTGGGAAGAGCAGACTCTAGGTGGGAGTCTGGGGTCCAGTAGTTATGGGTCTCCCCTCAGGGACTCTTTAAATGAGTTGACTAGAAAACCCTTATGGAGAAAGGGGAAGTCAGAGAGCAGCCCTACCCTCACCCCCTTTGCACCATGAAGTCCCCACAGCCCGATTCCCTCTCAGGAACCCCAACATCCACCATCAGCCTGAAGCACATGTGTTTTGGTCCCTGTCTTTGGGGTAGCTTTACAAAACGGTGGAGAGGTTGTGTGCAGCTGCAAAGGCTTAGTCTCAGCAGGATTCCTGTGCCACTGGGTGGTCTTGGTCAAGGACCCACACCTCTCTAGGCCTCTGGGGGTCACCCTGGTCCCTTCCGTGTATGTGGCATATAGTGACTGCTCAGCCAGCTGGCTGCTGTCTCTCTACCTAGAGTAACTCCAAGTTGGTGGCTGAGGCGTTGAAGTAGCCACCAGACAGGTCTGAGAAATATGTCTGCACTGGATGGCAGGTCAGACCAGCTGACCCGGGTTCCTTCCAACCCCACAAGCCTGGAATTGTGTGTCAGGTACTTGGGATAATGCTGAAGCCTTCCAGGAAGTAAACAAGTGGAAGACCACTCGGTCTGCCGTCTGCCGTCTTTCTCTCTCTCCAGCTCAAGTAAGGCTGTGGGCGAGAAAGGGGTTCTATGGGAAGTAACCTTACAGGGTGATCTGATCATAAACCCCTAACTGGGCAGGTCATGATAGGCAGTCACACCCCAGGCATACAACTTTTCTTAGTAAAAGTTTTATCTTTGCCTTAAGCAGCCCTTGTCCATTGTGCATCTAAGTAAACACATCTTTGAAATACGCATGACTACCCTCATGAGAGCACGTAATCTCATTATTTAAAAAAAAAAGATTTTACTGGGGAATTGGGGGAGGAGAACAGCGTTTGGGAATTGGGGAAGGGGGAACAGACAAGTTGCTGTCCTTTTTGTTCTTCAGTCTAGTTGTGGAGGGCGTGGCTTCACTAGCCCATGTTGGCATTACCATTGCGCTCTTCCGGGTGAGGCAGTCGCTCGCCGGCCACTGGATGGCCGCTCACAGCGGCTCACGAAAGCGCATGCCAGCTGCCTGCCCGCCCCACTGCAGCCTACGCCCTTGCCAGCAACTCAGGGCAGCCCAGCTTCAGGTGGAGCTGTTTTTCACCATCTTGGCTGCAGAGGGCCCAGCGTTGTTGGCCCTTCTGTGGGATCCGAACCGGGGTCCTGGTGCTCATAGATGGCGTCCCAACCCAACTCTTAACCAACGGGCCACTTGGACGGCCCTTTCATTATTCTGTAATTCAGTTCCGCCTGGCTTTCTCCCACCTCCCTGTTATCTTCCTTACTTTCCTTCCTTAATTCCATACGCACAAAAGAAACTGCAAAACGGTAAATCTTCGAAGCATCTGGGATCAAAGGGTTTGCTTCCTGGCATGTCGTCAAATAAACTTTTATAAATATTCTCTATAGTCGTTTGAACCTTTCTTACATCTACAAGACTCTGACGTGGAGAGGGCGAACATCCTAGGCAGAAAGACCCCAGACTCCAGCACCACTCCGTCCCCCTCCCTACCTCGGACTTACGACTGGGCCGTTTGTCTGTGGGGTCCCTTAGTTCTGCAGAGGCCCGCCCTCGATGCAGCCCCGGAACCCGCCTTGGTCCTACTCCTTCACTTTGCACTCACCGTCCGCCGCCCCTGCCCACACCCTCCCGGCCGCTGCGAGGCAGGCAGGCCCTCACCGCGCTCACCTGCATGATGGTTTTGCGAATTTTCCAAAGCCGGTAGGTCTCCTCTTCGTCGTCCATGCCTATCGCCACTCACGCTCACTGCGTCTGCGTCCAGCAGGACCCGCGCCTACTGAGCCTGCACCGAGCCCCGGTCAGGCCCCCTCAGCTCAGGGCTGTCTCCAGCGAACGCCTAACGCAGCGACCTCCGGGAGCGGCAGCGCCAAGGGCAGCCTGAACCTCTCTCGAGAGAGACGGTTGGCTGCGCGAGAGGCGTGCGAATGGCACCGCCCACCCGCTCCTCGGAAGCTCTCACTTGGTTTTGGGCGCACGTTCTTTCGGGAGTTGTAGTTGTCCGCCTAAGGACAGCCGTTTAGAATCCCTATAGGCAGAAGCGAGAAAACTGAGGGCGGGGAAACTGAGGCTCAGATGGGGTCTGGGGTCCACTCTCCTCCCAGGAACGGATGGGCGGCCTAGTAGACGCTCCATAAATATTTGTGCGTCCAACTGTTGGCGGTCCTCTCAGTTGGCTCTTGACCACATCCAACGTAATGGTGCCAGCTTCATTTTTCTGTCTGTACAATAGAAATTATAAAGTGTCCCCATTTTAGAGGATTAGATGAGAATTTAAAGGGACGGCCGTGCTTGGGAGGAGGTTGGCATAGTTCCTGGTGCTTATGTTGTGCTCCCACCTCCGTCCTCCCTGCTTCGTCCCCTGAGCCCCAGCCCGCCTCTGCCTGGATACCCCTCCACCCAGTTCACACAGGAAGCTCACGCAGCAGCCCAGCCCCCCGACACTTTGGAGGCCATGAGTAACTTATTCACTGATTCATTCAATCAATCAGATACTTACCAGCAACCACAGGACAGGGAACAAGCAAAGCACCCCTTACTGTTAGGTTTACGGCTCCTTAACAAAACTTGCATAAAAGATTTTTCGTTCCAAAGACCTTATGACCAGACCTGGGACTGTCTCTCAAAGGGAGAGATCAGCATCTAAGTCTTGGTGGGTAAGGAATTTATAGCTGAAGCTGGATACAGAAGCAAAAAAAAGCAGTTAGTGTGTAAAAAGGAAAAAATGGTTAGTTTATCTTATTTTAACAAACTATAAAACACAGTTAGGTTATTATTTTTAATGAGCTAATATATAACTTGCTTATCTTCTTGACGGGCTATAAAACATGACTTGTTTATTTTTTTCCTAACAAGCTACCCAACTTATCTTTTCCCTAATAAGTAAGCTATAAAGCATACCTAGCTTATCTTTTCCTATTCTCTTGACAAGATACTTTGCTAACTTTTGCTGAAGCAGAAGTTTCTTTCATTCCTCTGGGCGGGGGCCCTAGCCTAGGGTCTGGGCCTGGGTCCCTACACTTACATTCGAGGGAGAGAGTATAGACACAGTGAACATAATAGACAATGATGTTAGAAGGTGACAATGCTGTGGAAGGAAAGCTAGGGCCGGCTACCAGAGATGAGATGTTTGCAGTGTCAAATGGCAGGTCAGGAAAGGCCCAAAGTGGCAGAGAGAGGGAGGTGTGGGGCTGTGTGGGGGAAGGTGTATCAGGCAGAAGGTACAGCCTGTGCAAATGCCCTGAGGTTGCACCATGCCTATTGTTGGCAGCATGAAGCCTGTGTGGAAAAGGGTAGAAGAGGTCAGAGGGTGAGGCAGGTCAGATCTGGGACACCTTGTTGGAATGGGTTGAAAAGTTTGTGTTTTATTTTTAGACATTTTCAGGGAGACCAGGGAAGGGACTGGGGAGGACATCCTACCTGGAGATGTGGGGATGTGTGGGGGCCCAGCTGTCAGGGTCTCCCAGTGTCAGGAAATGTTTACAGGCTTTGGAGACGGGCAGCCCTGACTCCTCCAGGCCCAGGTAGGACTGTAAGAAAATAACTTGTTTATGTGAGTTGCTCTTAGTGCACATGTGTGCTGGCACCATGACAGTATTGTTATTGTGTTATAAAAACTCCAGTTCTGCTTAACTGGGCATGGGTTCTGTGTTGTGCTGCTCTGCTGCTGGGTTCTGAGTTCTACCTTTGCTGCTCTTGCTGTTTAACTGAGTTCTGCTGTTCTGCCTTTGCTGAATAAAAGTGTTTCTGCATTCAGGTCAAAGACTCTGTAAGGCTATTTTCCATTTGGGTACCTTACTGCCGAAACCATCCTTAGCCAAACAACTTGGACCCGACAGGGTGGCTCACACAGGATGGGGAACGGCAGTGGGCTGGTTCTGGGTGTTCTGAAGGTGGAGCGGAGCCCACAGGATTTGCAGGGTGGGATGTAGAGATAAGAGGAGGGAGAACAGAGTTGCCCTGGCTTGGGTGGGAAGACCCAGGGGGCAGATGGGAAGGGGTCTTGGACGTGGTAAGCTTGGGGGGCTCTGGTAGAACCCAAAGGGGAGACATTGATAGGAGTCTGGAATTCAGGGTGAGTGCCGAATGAAGACTGATGTGTGGGCGCCTTGGACACCTGGTGGAGATTGGAGCTGGGAGCCTGGATGAGGTCACTGAGCAAATCCAGACCAGAAGCCGGGAGGAGGGCAGGGAGCAGCAGAAGGCGCAGAGGTGCACACAGACACTGGAAAAGCAGCCTGGGTCCCAATCCTGGCTGTGTGATCTGAGGTACGTTACTTAACATCTTTGCGCCTCTGTGCCTCCCTCCCCCTGCCAAGAACAGCACCCATTTCCTAGGGGTGACCTAGCTAATGATTGCACTGGCGTTACATAAGTGCTCTTACATGGAATAAAGGGCAGTAGGAGGTTGCCAGGTGTCCTGGAACCAGGTGAAGAAGGTGTCTGGAGGAGGAGGAGGGAGTAGCCGTCAAAGCCACCAAGCAGCGAGTCTGAGCAGGCCTGAGGATTGGGCAGGGGTTTAGCCAAGCAGACCTTGTTCGTGACCATAAGGAGGGCATATCCAGGGAAAGGGTGAAGGCCTGACTGAGGCGGGTTTGCAGGAGGAAAGGAATTGGAGATGTAGACTAGAGGCAAAGGGGAGTAGAGGGGATAAAGCTGGAGAGGGAAAAGGGTGGTGGGTTTTGATGTGAGAAAGGGCTCATGGGAGCAGGTGGGCCTTGGGACCCCAGAAAGGCTGGCAGAGCCCAACCACAATGCTGATGACTCACAGTCCTGCCAGTGACCATGTGGCCTCAATACCAGGACATGGAGTGGCAACCTGCTCCTTCACATCCCTCCACCCCATGAGAGCCCGAGGCCCAGAGATCAGGCCCGTACCGGCACACTTATGGGTGGGAATGTAAAATGCGGCAGCTGCTGTGGAAAACAGTCTGCTGGCTCCTCAGTTAAACAGAGTTACCGTTCCTAGGTGTATATGGAAATGATAACATATGTCCACACAAAAACTTGTACAGCATTACAAAGCCAAAGGTGGACATCGCCCAAGTGTCCATCAATGGATGAATGGATAAATGGCCCATCCACACTTGGAGTGTCACTTGGCCGTGGAAAGGAGGGAGGCACTGACACTTGCCACAATGTGAACAGAGCTTGAACACACGATGCTCAGTGAGAGAAGCCAGACACACAATGCCACACAGTTTGTGATTCTATTTATGTGCAATGTCCAGAAAAGGCACATCCACAGACAGGAAGTGGGTTAGTGGTTGTCAGGGCCTGGGGAAGGGTCGGGGCATGACTGCTGATGGGGACAGGGCTTCTTTTGGGGTCATGGAGTGTTCTGGAATTAGTGTTGATGTTGCAGAATCATCTCCCCAAATCCAGCTTGTGTGCCAGGTAAAACCAAAACATTGAGATACTGGTGCTAGGAGATAGAGAAGGGCTTATTGCATTTGGCCAAAATGAGAAAACAGAGAGCAAGATCTCTCAAATCTGTCTCCCCAAAAAAGCAAAAGTAGGGAGTTTTCATGTGGCTAGGGAGTAAGAAGGGGGAGTTCCAGAGAACTGAGAGAGTCTGTGTTGCTTTAGTCACAGATGACACTTTTTTGCATCAGACTACTGGGTGCCAGCAGCTAGTAGCTAACTTGAAGACCTTCCCTCCTCCTGAAAAACAAACTCAGAAATTCTCTTCATCTTGCTTGACAAAAAGACAGCACATCAGCAACCCAGAATAACACTGTGAGAACAAGGGGGGCTGGGTTGAAGAACCATGATTCTGCAAATATTATCTTTAAAGCAAAAAGCAGAAACTAGACATTTGTGATGATTGCCATTGTTTAAGCTATTGTCATTTTGTGCTTAACTAGGTACATTTTTCTATTATCTCAAGCAAAGTATATTTTCAAACATTTTCCCTGGTATTTGCTTTTCTTTGACCATAAACTATGTGATAATCAAAGCAACTGAAACATTTAGTTAAGCCTATAACTATATCCTAATTAAGAATGAAATTATCGGGCTGGCCGAGTGGTGCATTGGTTAGGAGTTGGCTTGAGATGCCAGCTCTGAGCAGCAGGGCCCCGGTTTGGATTCCACATGAGGACCAGTGACACTGCGCCGTCTACAGCTAAGATGGTGAACAACAGCTCAACCTGGAGCTGGGCTGCTTTGAGTTGCAGGCGACAGTGTAGGCTGCAGTGGGGCTGGCCTGCAGCAGGCATGAGCTTTTGTGAGCTGCCGTGAGCTGCCTTGAGTGGATGTCCAAAGGCTGGCAAGCGACTGTCTCACTCGGGAAGAGTGCAACGATAATATCAACATGGGCCAGTGAAATGACGTCCTCCACAACTAGACTGAAGAACAAAAGGACAGCAACTTGTCTATTCCCCTTCCCCGATTCCCCAACACTGTTCCCCTATCCCAATTCTCCAATAAAATCTTTTTTTTTTTTTTTTAAGATTTTCATTGGGGAGTTGGGGGAAGAGGAACAGTCAAGTTGCTGTCCTTTTGTTCTTCAGTCTAGTTGTGGAGGATGTTGCTTCACTGGCCCAAGTTGGCACCATCATTGCGCTTTTCCCGGG